GTCTCGGCGAGGGCCAGCTGATGCTGTGATGCTGGCCGTGGTTGTGAAAATTGTCTCGGCAAGGGCCAGCCAATGCTCCTGATGCTGGCCGCGGTTGTGTGAATTGTCTTGGGGAGGGCCAGCTGATGCTCATGATGCTGGCCCTGGTTGTGTGAATTGTCTCAGGGAGGGCCAGCTGATGCATGCTGGTCGTGGTTGTGTGAATTGTCTCGGGGAGGGCCAGCTGATGCTCATGATGCTGGCCCTGGTTGTGTGAATGGTCTCGCGGAGGTTTGGCCCCTATAGTTAGCAGAGCAGACTCAAGAAGAAATGTTTCTCAGTAGTAGTCCCTGCAAGCTCTACACCAGGACCACATTACCCTAAAGCGACAGTGATGAGGGGGTTGCTTCGTGCAAGGAGTGCTTCGACAGGTTTGCTCTACAACTCTTGGGTATCTTTGCAGGATGCTACGAGCTCACCCACCCAGCTAGCTAGGAATCTCTTGGCCATCTTACGCATTGCCCCACCACAGCACCAGACCAGGGCACCTGCCCATAGGCTCCAAACCGGTCCAAGAGCAAATGTCCCTGACCCTAACCCCCCCAAAACTTGCTCAACCCTGCAGGACTCCCTATACACTTCTCGTCATTGCCGTTGCATCCTACAATCGTTGCTGCTTCTTTTCAAGCTCTAAGGGCCTCCAGACCTATCATATCCCTCATGCCTGCGAAGTTTCCATCATGCTCTAAGACCAGAATTTCCAAAGACTTGTAGTAATCCCCCTTGGACATCCATCCCAGGACAGGAGCCAAAGGCCTTGATTGCACAGGCGTGCGGCCCAAAGCATGCATATGCTCAATATGCTCATATGCCTGTACAATCCTATACACATTTCTGTCTGTACATGTTTATCTGTAGGTGTGCATGTTCGTACATGAACACATACATATATTCAGATACATGTATTTCGGATCGGCTACGTAGATCCAATAGGGGGCAAATGATTTTGGGCGTATGGGCAGGCGTGGTTGCGTACACTCTTGGTGACGTATTTTAATGCTGGTCCTTGATGGGTTTGCCATGTACAGCCCTTGCAGCTATACATGTGATCATCGATGGCGTATATGTTGCTGTTTTGTGGAGGTTCGGGATTTTGGCTTGCAAGCTTGGGTTTTCAGAATTGGGCCGCTTCGACTGAGGATCACGGGATCACGGGCCTTGGGATGAGGATGTCAGAATATCATCCGTGCTGGTCTGAAGTTTTTGGCATGTCGTTCCCAGCCAAGTCGAATGGCTGCTCGTCTCGATGTTGGTCCATAGTGACTTCAGAACAATAAGCCGAACAGCAGCGAGCTGCATGATCAGAAAAGCATTTACAAAATCAGAAGGTGGGGCTTCATAGAATGAGTACCCCACATTTGAACCACCTTCAACCTTCCGAGATTAATCCCCATCGCTGAACCTTGCATCCTGATCCTGATCTGTAAGATCCTCACAAGGTGCTTGGCGAGGCGATTGACTCAATGTGACGTCAGATGTCTCAGAGAAATGGCTCGACAAGGGGTTTAGGGTTTGGGGGTTAACCCTCGGGTTTCGGCCTTACCTAACGCTCCTATTTAGTACCTTGTTGGCTAAACCACGGCAATCCTGTTCAATTAAGCCGCCGTTGCTCCTGCATTTTGCTTGCAGACCCTCGGAATTTTGAATGCCCCCTCCCAGGTGCTGTTGCGTGTGTTCTTTTTGGCTGGCTCAGTCAGTAGAAGGTACGGACCATCCTGGTAGCCCACATTTCCCAGGGTTTAGTTTAGGGCTGAGATTCTACGCTTAAGGTCCGCGGGTCCAAACTTTATGATTTATGCTTCTGGTTTTAAGTCTTGAAGGACTTTGCGCATGGCCTCAAGAAGCACCTGAAGCACCCCCTCTAACCACAAAACAAACCTGGGTTTGGTCATGGAAGCCCTATGCGATCCGTTCTTCCAAGAAGAGGAATCCAAAAGCCGCAAAATCTGAAAAGAAATGAGGCAGGGTAGAACAGACCAACAACTCCCCAAGACATACCTTCATATCTTCTTTATCTTCCCATTTCGAGCCCTACAGAACATCCCCCAAGTACTCGGGATCCATGGCTATGGCGCTGCCCTCCTCCGATCTTTCGCCTAGCCCGGCGGATGCAGCGGTGAGGCGGTTACTGAGGTGCCTCTTGGGGAATAGGGATTAGGGGATAGGGATTAGGCTTGCCTTGCCGTTTCCTTCTTGGGGAAGAGAAGAGGGGATTCCTTCGGCGAAGATCAAATGGTGTCGAAGGAACATCTTGCTTTTCCACGAACTTAGAGGGGAGAGGGTTCAGCTGTGAGTGGCTTTAGTTTACCAGACGACCTAAACCATGCAACCAGCCACCCTGAGGGTTGGGATTTGGGTTCAATCACTCCCCTCAACAAGACTTGTCTACAATCCCCAAGAATCCCAAGTCAGGGCTCTAAACTCCTAGGCCCCAGAATTGTGAATCTTGAGACCTAAGCTAAATCCGACCCTAAAAACTTCCTGACCGCGATGGACAGCCATGTCTACCAGCCAGCACCAGGCAGGTGCCAGAGAACATGATGTTTGCGTTCTGGTATCATTATCATAATTCGACACCTTATGATCATTCTTCTGAATGTACAGTGGTCCCCTCTACCAAGCTCTAGGCTCCCCCAAAAGGCCACCTGAAGATCCTGAAGCCCCACATACTCCCTCGTACTCACTATCTGACTGACCCTGGGGCTGATACGGGGATCCATTCAAGTCCCTTGGTGGCAGGAACCACCCAAAGATCCCGCCTAGCTCCGTTTGCGCTGCGGAGCTCCGGGCGCTGGGACTGGGAAATCTGCCCATCCTCGAGTGGGAAGCCTTGGATGAATTGTAAGGGTTTACGTGTTTATGGCGGTGCAATTAGGGTGCAGTTTTGGCTTTGGGCATTTAGGCTTTCACGGCTTGAGGGTTTTGAGTTTAAGGTTTGGGGTGTGGGATGTAGCGAGTAAGGCCATGAAGGCGGTCTCGTCTCTATTGTGTATGTCTATATACGAAAGGACGCAAAAAATGATTGTATGCATCAGTGTGCACACGGAAACGTATTCTGTGGATATTAGATATAAAGGGAATGGCGGTGCTATTGGAGTCCCGTAAAACGGATTCGCGTGGAATGATTTGTCAGACTTCGGCACCAAGACAGCCAAAGCAATGTCTTTAGGGCTTAGGCGTGTAAGGTTTTTGGGGTTCACGGCTCATGGTTTAGGGTTTTGATTCGCGACCTCGGGACTAGGGAGATGTAGGGGGCTTGCGTAGGGTTTTGCGCCATCAGTGAAGAGTAGGGAGTACAGGAGCTGTGGGTTAAGGTCTTGTTGAATTCTAATCATTCAGGGCTTCCGGGTGAGTTGATTAGGAGTCAGGTGTACTTAGGGCATCTTAGGGCTTAGGATTTGTGCCATGGCAGTCTTGGAGTTCGCACAAATCACCTTCACATCTCACTGGAGTTCGTTTGCTTTGCAAGCGACATAATGCTATCTGAAGAAGGCCCGTAGACTGTGGTGCTGGACCATTTTGCATGTTTGGGATACATGAACCTATCAATTTGGGTCACTTGGCTTTTCGTTAGTAGACAAAATCTTCAAGCTGTAAGCTGCAGATCCCTGCTGTCAAGGCTCTGAGCACAAGCACTATGCCCCCGAAAGGTAAGAGAGTCCTAAATCTGTGCACAAGGATCTGGAGCAACCCTGGGGCGCCACATCTGCACTGAGTGCTGCAGGTTTGGGCTTGCTTTAGGGTCGAGGGCCTAGGGCTTCAAGCACGAAACTCAAATACTTTTTGGTCCTCAAGAAAAGACGGCCCTAGACTGGTGTCTTGTTCTCGGCGCAGTTCCAGGATTCGATCATCAGATTCATCAGATCTCTTCAACTCCAGGCGCAGAAAACAGAACAAGTCGGGCTTCCTGGCATCTCAACTCTGGGTGAGGGCTCCAAAGCTACAAAGCCCCCAGCCCACCATGTGGGCAAGGAGATCAGAGGTTAACCTCGGTGGATGTCACTTAGTGTTGCCACCATGGCTTTCAGGCGCGATTCTTGGAAGCATTGGGTAAGCATGGGCCATGATACTAGTATGAGCTACTGTCAATATTAGCCTGATTAAGGGACTATTGGGGCCCTCTTGTAGTTTAGTGATGCCACATAGGAGCCCATGTCCATTAATTTATGTAGTAAATCTTGGCGTTATATACTGTATGTATATGTTTAGGTTCCCAAAGATTGTAAAGTTGTTTAGGAAGACCCCATGATCCTACTCACAATGCCGATACTGGCGTCCCTAGGCCTCTCTATTTCGAGAAGCCAACATGTGATCTGTTGAACCTCCATATATCGAGAATGCCAAGCACGCCATTATCAGGATTTATCATGGCTTCAGGTTTTGGGGTTGACGCAGTCTAGGCTGCTAACCAGCTTGGGCAACAAGTATTCTTTACATGGGCAATATGATTGAATCGTATGGGGGTACATGTGATTCAGCACGCGGAGTCATGCAGGGATGCCCTGTAAGAAGGGAAAAAAACCAGGAATCCCTAATGTGATTCACAAGAAGGTTTCCCCTTGATTCAAGACGAATCTGAGACTTGAAATCCTAAAGTCTAAGCCCTTCATGCTCAAAACTCAACCTATCTGGAAAGCCATGCAGTTCCAGAGAACATTAGTGAGGTCAGTACTTGGACCAGGAGACTGCGCCCGGACCAAAAGGTTATTTTGGGCCAGGCAAGGGGCTCAGCGTTTGGGCATTTCTCTGGCAGCGCGTAGTTATGTCCGGGGTTACTAGTCGGAGCTAGTTTTTTGGTGCAAGCACAACCCTACTGCAGACTACCCAACGAAATCCTTGTGGGCGTAGGATTTAGCTTGAAGCTTAGGGTTTGTTGGGGGGGGTATGGTTATGTAGATGTGCCGCAAATCCACCTCGCAGGATTTCTGTGCTAGGGATTCTATTGTGTGCCTGAGGCGACTGTGTACGAGCCTGAAGTATTGGGCAGGTAGCACTCCAGCATAGCCGCTCTGATATACCATGCCGGGCTGAAGCCCAGCTGAACGCTTCAGGTCCTTGCTCCCTGAAACCCAAACTCTGGAACTCTTGACCCTCAGGCCCTGGCCCCTAAGCTGCAAACCGTAGACCTCAAAACTACATGATTGACTCCGACACCCGACATGTCAACACGCTTTCTTTACTGATCTCATTCAGCATGCCAGCGAGGGGCTTCTCTCTGGGAGCAACCAGAGCCTACAGCGCGACCGGAGCAGGCATCCTCTTGGGGTAGCGAATGTATACAAGTTATGTAAGGGATTTGGGAGGCTTTGGCTTTGGTATTTCGAGCAGCCATGGATTGATCAGGGTTCTGTAGGAAAACTGTACCCTTGTGGTTGTGTTCGTCTTGCGAGCAACGTTTGGAGATTCTTGGCTCGCCTGCTTGCCTTCTTCTTCTTTGTTTAGTTTACCCACATGCATTCTGACAATCAACCTTCTATATCCCAACAACAAGTAAGCTTGCGACTGAAGCTGGTTCTCGAAGTTTGTGCTCTTTGGAAAAGATTTCGCAATGGATTTTACGGACTCCAGACTCATTTCGCAGATACGCAAGTTTCTCAAAACGAGTGGCATTTTTGATGGCAAGTGGCAGCTAGAGTGGGACGGAGGGATTTTGTTCTTGGAGTTGATGGCTTCCCGTTGAAAACGCCGGGTTTCCTGGGGCTTTAGAAGCATCGGCTTGACATAAACCCTGACCTACATTACTCATGCAAGGCAGTAGTCTCCGTCAGTTTTTTTTTTGCGCTCACACTGGTTAGCTAGGTTCAGCGTGTAGGGAGACTCAGACCGGTGATGCTTTCAGCGCATCATGTTCATTTGCCATTAAACGATCCTGCGGGCTTTGCAAACCAAAGCACGGTTTGAAACCAGGTAGGTCCACGGTGCCACATGCGAGCTTCTCAAAATAACTCCTCTCCAATCTGTGGAAGTGACGCTCCCTGTAATCAACGTCTTTCCATCGCGCCCGTCATTGCCCACTATCCTGACACCCTTCCATATGACATCCTGCAGTCGAGCCAGACTGCATTAGGGGAAGCTGCTCAGCAGTCAAAACAGCGAGGTACTGTCATTCCGTCATAGCAGGCATACACACTGTAGTGTATTTATCTCAGTAGCAACCGAAGCTCGTTGATCCCGATGGCAGTCTCTATATAAGCCCCTAGAACAATTCCTATGCCCTATTCCTTCATAACACATAGTAGTTTCCTTTTTCTTTGCTATTGCATCTATTTGCCTGGCAACTGTCAGAAAGTCAGAGAAGGTACCGGCTGCTGGCGTATTTCAGATGCCTGCCCCAGATATTGCGGTGCCACACGGTGTGTCGGTATGTAGGAGTTAGCGTTCAGGTGGGGTTCAGCGTTTAGGGTCTGGGGTTGCTCTGCACGCGGAGCTTGAACGGATCTTCTGCACTTTGCTCACTTTGCTGAATTTA